TCTACGTCCGGACGATGTCCACCGAGTCCGCCGCGTCCGCGTCGGGTCGCGCTGGCCTGGGAGCTTCGGCCCTCTCTTCGATTGCTTTCGGCGGCTCCGCTCCTGGCAGACCGGAGCGCCGTTCGGCTCCACCTCTAGACCGAAAGAGCGCCGAACGCGACCGACTTTCTGACTTGGTGATGATTGTTTTCTGGAAGTGAGAATGGTCTTCTGGCTCAACTCCTAGAGTCAGGATAATTTTCTGGCCATGAGCCTGCTTACTTCCGGCCACCGCCCTCGTTCGTGCATACCCAGGCATGTTCAGGCATGGTCACCGCGGTTTGCTGTTCGCGTCCTTTCCGTCGCTGTTCCCGCTCCCAGCGCTGCAGTCGCTTGAGGATCTCTGCCTGGATAAAGGACGAGTTGTAGCCACAAAGGGTGAAGTCACCATGATGTTTTGCCGATCCTCAAACACTGAGGTAGAAAAGTGCTACTCCCTCGCAAGGCAAGCTTGGATTGAACATTTGTTTTGGGAGGAACGAAATCTCCGTGGACTAACTTGTACGGGCTTCTAGAAAGCTGCAGGGATCGTTTGAACTGAGCACAACCGCTCTGTGTCAAGTGTGTCTCAGACACGATCCATGTGGTGCCATGCGTCCCTTGGGGAAGCTGGTTTATTAATTCGGATTTATTCAGCAGCCCAGTAGGGTTGACCAACCCCAAAACAAAACCGTGACAAACATATAAAGACTGTATAATACTATATTATGCAATAAAACTATAAAGCCACAGTTTCTTGCTTTTTGCAGTTGTTTTTCTGGTCTTGGATTCCTCTCGGCCTTCTTCCCATTGGCGCGGAGGCCACGAGTCTTCGCGAGCTCCACCAGGTCCTGAGAATCAGTGCATCGCTACTAGTAGCAAAGCGCATCGCTACTGGTAACAAGAAGCTAGTAGTAGCTATTATTTGCTAGTAACCAGTAGTAACCATGGGATATCATGGGAAGATCAAGTTCCACATTGCAAGCCTCCCAAAGGACAAGTCCCCTATCCAAGCGTAGGGATGTCTGACATCCATGCGTAGGCATGCCATGTTGGCGTCTATCAAAGGTGTTGGTAAATGAACATCATGCTACTGTTGTCCTTCTCCGCATGTGAACCTGAAAAACTCGACTACTATTTGAGGCAAAGGAAGACCCAACATGACCCAACTGCTAGATCTGCAGCAATCAGTCCTTGTAGGACAAGGAGCGCAAGTCCTGAGGAGTGCACGGGCGGCACCCTATCTATTAGGACCTGCCTTTGGCAAGTCCTATAGGAAACACAAACCTCACTTAACTGTGCTGACCTGCCTCCAAGCTGACTGAGCACCCAACAGCCTCTGGCTGGTCAGATTTCTGCTCGACTGCGTGGCCCTGATCCCCCTCCTGAGCGAAGCACGCCCAGAAGTTTTGAAACTTGAAACCACCGGCCGTGTCTGCCCAGGCCCTGTCATTCTTTGGCCTAATTGAAGGGGAAAGGGAAGCTGATGAAGTCGAACTTCAATGTGAACACTCATGCTCCCTGATGCTCCCTGATGCTCTCCAAGTCCTGGAAGCAGCTGGCGAAAGTGCCGCACTCTCGCCGACTGATGCAGATGCGGCCGGTCGCTCTGGGGAGCCCCGACCACGGCGCCATGCAGTTCCGACCGCTGCGCAGATGCCTTCGATCGATCTGCGCTGCGAGCGGCAGCGACGGACCAAAATGCACAACGACACGACAACGACACAGAGCGACACGAAAGCAACAGGAAGACGCTGAATCGGTGACGCAATCGAGCATTCCGAAGGCCATGGTCAGCAAACACGAAACACAATTGATCTTGTCAGGACAGGACAGGACATTTCAACCAATAAAAAGTTGTGAATCATTGAATGTTCCAAGTGCCTTACTAGTAGTAACAAGTGCCTTACTAGTAGTAACAAAAAGCTATTAGAATTAAATTGAATTCTAATTAAACTGTTCAATGGATCCTGTGGGTGATGGCACCAGGAGACCTTCCGGTTTGTTCCCGGACAGGTTTTTCGGTGGAACTCGGGCGGAAACGGTTTCGACCCATCCTTGCTTCGCGGTATAAATAAACTCTTCTTGATCCAAACATGTCAACGTTACCACATTCATCAATCGCCAATTCTGCTGCTTTTTCCGGCCATCGAGGCCATCGCTAGTAGCTTCGAGCCATCGCTATTAGGTTTGTATGACACCCAAAGTGTCCGCTCTTGAGCTCCCTACCTCCGTGGGATGTTCCAACATGGCCATCCGAGCCTGAACGGACGGGCACGGGCTGACGTGCCAGGCTTCACGGACGTCGTGTGGGAACACGAGGGGCAGTGCTTCTGCCCCTCGTGGTGCACGCAGGATTTGTTTTTCACAAATGTTTCATGGTCTATGTGTCCAAATACATAAATTGACTAGAACCACCATAAGCTAGAGTCTCGTATTCTTGTTGAACATCTTCAAGCAGACTCTTTGTTTCCACTGCAACAGCATCCCACACCTCCCGTGGAGCCTCAACTTCACTAGGCTAAGGTTCAAACTGTCACTATCGGACAGCTTTGGACGGCCCAACTTCAAAATTCATGATTTCAAGTCTTCAATTCAAAATTCAAAACATGTTTATGGCTCATGCTGAAAGCTTGTCAATCACGATTGTGGCTCTGGGTATCCCAGCATCTGGTTGAGCTTCTTGCTGCAAGGCTTCTGTGAAAGGTGCCTTGTCGGCGTCAAACTACCAGCGAGGCTTGAAAACAAGAAACACTACGTGACTGAAGATCAGTCGCACAAGACTGAAAGTTGTATGGTCTCTGGGCTCGTGGCTGCAACCTCTGTAGGCCGGTCAAACACGTCAGCCATCGGAGCCTTTTACAAGAATGGAGCTTTCAAATTGATTCCAAAGTAGGACTGACAACAAATTCTCAAGTTTGATCAAACATCATCAAGCAGAATCTTTGGACACACTGCAACAGTCTCCCACACCTCCTGAGGAGCCTCAACTTCTCTGGGCAAAGAAGCCTCATGCGCAGAATTCAAAACTAGGATTGGACTTGCTTTGCCAAATATCAGTTTTGGACAGCCCAAGATCAAGCTTCATGTTTTCAGTTTCTCTATTCACATGTTTGAACAGGCTGCCTTCAGATAGAAGTTGGGTTCACACCAGGCCAGG